CGTTACCTAATATCGAAAGTTGGATTAAAGGGAATTATTTTATTGTGATATTGTATTTTTTAAAATAACTTCCTGCTATCATTATGTTAACTGCTCGACGTTTCTTGTGAGCGATAGATAATTCTTGTGCCTTTTTTTTCTTCTTGATTAATATATTATTTTTACTGCCTGGTGGTTCAGCAGTGGGTTTAATAGTTATAATGCTAAAATGCAAGGTTCGACCCGTGCTGCAGGTACAGCGCTACCCCCCCCCCCCTCCTCGGTAGATGAGCGGTCCGAGGCATGCGGTGGCTAAAACGCAGATAGCCCATTATTCATCTTTGCGCTTAAAACAAATGATCATTTCTATTTATATTCGTGCTACATTTTCACACACTAACTGACTTTATTCTCGTATTGCTCATCTTCATGTTCTGATACGTTAGGAAGTTTAATAAGAATTTTGATTAACAAATGTTTTTAATAAGTTTATTACACCGGCCTAAATGTGACTAAAATAACTGAATAAATGTGGCGTTGTATTTAATACTATCTGCCAGATGAGTGCGTTTGACGTTTTAAAGCGACCTCTCCTTTTTGATTATGACGTTTAACGTCTTCAGTATGACGATCAAACTATTCTATTTGTTTTTTGCCATGAGACTTTGCAACTTCGATCGCATCCAAACCACTTTCAACCTTATATGGGAGCTCCATACAAGTGTGTGGTATCATAACGGGCAACACCTTCTTCAGTGTAGTTTGGCAGCAACAGCAGCAGCAGAGAGAAAAAAAAAAAACAACAACAAAAAAACAAACTCCACCCCAGCCTAAAGCCTTGTTGCTTAATGTCTCTGGGGAGAATGTATTTTCTGTATCCTCTTGTCAGAAGCTTAATATGCACTACACAAACATCCCCCAAAAGCCGGCACAGCGTATCTCACACTTCGTCTGTGTTTGCTAATTTTAGCACTAGTTTCCGTGTTAGGCTTGCGAGGGTCTAGTCGGAAAGGCTGTGATATGCCCTGCACGTTTGTCTTTGAGGGACTGATATAAACTTCCGGGTCGTTTTATGAATCAGTCCTTTATTATTTATTTAACTTTGAAGAGTAAATAATTGTCACAGATTAATATTTCAAATGTGTCATAGTATCAGTTGTACACTCTACACTTAAGCTTGTCCATTTTCTAAGTAAAATACCTAATTTGGTAAACAGCACCAGAGGCAACAGTGATGTAGAGGTGCATTACAAAGGTGCTTTCTAAATGGTGTAATTTTTGTAAATTTGTATGTTTCAATAGAGTAGTAATTAGTAACACCTCGTATTAAACTAAATAAATAATGTAGTATTAAGAAATACCATAACTATGATATGTTGTGGCCTAAGAAACATTGAATAAAAAGTACTGTTAATCAAACTCACACTGTAACAGTTGTCAAGTGATTTGTTAAAATAAATAGTGTTTCAACCATTACTGTGTCTGTTGTATCTCAGCTGGCATGAATAGCTGTGGTGTTGGAGGAAAGGCCTGATCAGCACTGGTTATAGCAGACCAAACTAAACAATATAAACACATCGAACATTAAACTTCTGGGAAAACTATCTAACAGTAACAAGACCTTGCACATGCATATATAATATAAATATTAGCAATCTTCAACGTATATCTACATAAACTTTGTAATTCAAAATTATAAAAAATAAACCATGGAAAGCAAGCTTTGTACTAACAACTGTTAAAAAGTCTTTACTCAAGAAATTAGCAAGAAAGATCAATAAGTATTTCTGAAAGAAAATAAAGCAAATTGTGTGATCGTAAGTTAATCACAAAAATTTTCTCATTTGTGTACAGTTTTGGTTGTGCAGTGTCACCTTAGTTACCTCTCCTATAATACATACTTTTATTTGTATAAGCTTCTGTAAGTTGATTCTCCTGTATATCTGTTGTTATGCATAGGTAGTTTTCTGTGAAGATATCTACTGAATCACTTGAATATGGAAGCAAACACCACTTCATTAAGCTTATAAACCATTGTTTGCCAATTTCTTATCACTGACTTATTTGTGTAATCTTCTCCAGACTGAGTTTCGTAAATACTTTTATATTTAATATCATGTCCATGTAATATCCTTAAAGCTAAATCACATATATCAACTGTCTCTTTTCTGTAATATCTTCCAAGCTAAATTTCCACAGTTTTAATATTATATTTGTTTAATATCTCCCAAGTTAAATCTTTCACAGATTTACTGTCATACTTGTGTAATATCTTTCAAGCTAAATCTTTCATATATTTACTGTCACTTGTATATCTTCCAAACTAAATCTTTCATTTATCTACTATCATGCTTGTGTAATCTCCTCTGGTTAGCTTATTGCATAGAAGGTACAGATATTAACATGTATGTAAGTACTTTAATATTATAGTTAAAATTTTACTGTGCAAACACTGCTAAAACAATAAAGATTTTCAGCAAACACTGGTAAAGCAATAGATTTACAGCAAACATTGCTAAAACAATAAATATTTGTAAATGCTAAAGAAAATAATATTTGTAAATACAATACCTACATTTTATTAACAACAGCATAAAACCAAGACAAGTGTGAAATTCATGGCATGCACAAAATACAAGGTTCAACTCTCATGTAGAACCAGTATTAAAAATTTCAGATGTTGCAGTTGTAAGGCAATGAAAGTTATAAACATACACACACACACACACACACACACACACTTTATTCAGTGCTAATAGGTGCTGAAATTAAAAGCCTAAATAATCTTTTGCTTTAATGAAAGATACAATAAAACCTGTTTTGATAGTAATGTAGAAATATTTTTTATATCAATTAAAAAAAATGTACAAGAAAACAAAGCCTATTTGTAGGTTTTCTGTTTCCAAGGTTCTTTCCAGGTGTATTACTCTGCTGTATACTATACTGTACAATGTGGGTGGTAGTATAAGGGAACACCCTAGAAGCCATTAGTTGTTCAACATGGGAAAAGAAGGTTGAAACATGCAGTGGGTATAAAGTTCTAAAATTTATCAAATATTTCCACCTTTAAAAAACAAATGCATATTGGAGGACAGAAATTGTCAAGTTTTTTTTGGTGACTAAAGGATGGAGGAATACTAAATTACATATTATAATTTTGGTTTTTATGGTTTAAGAATCTTTCATTTGCATTCATATTGTTCATTTGTTCCTTATTAGGTAAACAATTTTATGCACTGCATATCTTAGATGTTTGTCATGTATTGGTACTGTACTTGTTCCTTTATATTACATACATCAGTTTATATATTGTTATTTAGTCATCAGTTACATGTGTATACTGTACTTGTTTCTTTACATTACACTTACCAGTTTATTTACACTGGTCTATATATATATATATATATATATATATATATACATACATCTATCATGTGTATGCTGTACTTGTGCCTTTAGATTACACTCATCAATTTATCTATAATGTTACTTACACATCTGTCACATGTGTTTTATTATTTGCACATTTATACTGTATTTGTTTCTTTACATTAAACTCACCAGTTTATGTATATTATAGAGTTCAAGCAGTTGTCACATGTAGAAATGGGCAATTAATGGAATTTGCTAATTGATTGTTAGGCTTATTAATCAGTTACGTTGAACCACTTGTTTGCTCTTAAATGAGAATAGCCCCCCCCCCCCTATTTTTTAACATTTTCAAACTACCCTTGTTCAGTATGATAGACATCATTAGGTACAACAATTTAGGATTAAGCAATTTTTTTAGTCCTAAACTGTTGTACATGAAAGAAGTATCATATATATATAATGTAGTATGAAACCTTTAACAAACTGACAATGTGGTTAATACTGAATAGGAATGACCATCACAGTATATAGCTCCCACCCCAAATCTCATATTATGGTAGTTTAGGTGGTTGCCTGTTCTAGTATCCAGTGGCAACAAAGATGCTCTCCTTTTCAGCCATAGGAGAATTATAATGTTATAGTCAATCCCACTATTTATTAGTAAAAGATTAGTTCAAGAGCTAGCAGTGAGTGCTGGTTTGGTCCGCAATGAAATAAAGTAAAGATGGCCTTAGTAGCTTTGCCATATCTTGTAAACAATAAACAGATATAATGCCTGCACTGCTAAAAGGGGTGATTGTATTTGGTGGCAATGAGAATTGAACCTGCAAGGCCACAGCCATTGAACCATGATCTAACTGTCATTAAAACCTGGCCATGCCACCGATAGCAAAAGAACCTTGAATTATTTGGGAAAAAATAAGGAGAAATCATAATGGCAATATTTCGATTAATTGGATAGTTGGAATGATCGAAAATAGTAATAACTGGAAACCCTAATTCTGTTTAGTTGATTATTTTCATGAGACTAATTGATTAAGCTGAACAAACTCGAATTAATCAAAAATATTAATGGCAATATTTTGATTACTTAGATAATTGGAGTAAACAAAAACAGTACTAATTGAAAACACTGATTATATTTGTGACATTAATCAATTTTGTAATAATTTCTACTAATCAGTAATTGTATGTGATATTAGTTGATGTAATTGATGCTCATAAGTGATTGATTGTTCTATATGGCTTACACAGGTGTACCTGTACTGTACGGTTTATGCAGGTGTACCCGCACTGTACAGTTTATGCAGGTGTACCCGCACTGTACGGTTTATGCAGGTGTACCCGCACTGTACGGTTTATGCAGGTGTACCCGCACTGTACGGCTTATGCAGGTGTACCCGCACTGTATGTCTTACACAAGTTTTAGTCATTGAAGCTATGTGCTTGTTTTTTTACATAAATGAATTGTGTATACTCTTTACACATATTTTCATTTAACTCAGTGAGTTTACTCAGATGAAGAATTGACACATCTCTTTAGTTCAAATTTTGATCAATAACAGTGATGTTATTTTGATTCACTTGGTTAGTGTATTTACTTTCATTTTTACAAGATAAGGTAATCTTTCATGCTTCTGAATGTTTAGGTCTCACGACTGGTCATTCTACATGAAGAGGCAGAAGATGGAAATGCTATGCCTGACTTAGAGCGGCCTGTCCAGGCTGTTAGCAAGGCTGTTACTAATCTCATCAAGGTAAAGTTTAAGTTCAGACTAAACTTTTGCAGTGTTTGTATCAAATAAGAGACTGATGTCCAAAGTTTATCATTTTACACCTTTGTTGTTTTATAAATTTTCAAATTGAATAGTGTTTTTTTTTAATTCTTTTCTCTCCAAAACTCTTACTACTAGACAAATATAATAGTAAATATTAAATCCTGCCATTAATGTTTTAACTTTAACATCTTAAACAATCATGCTGTTAAGGTTACTATTCTGTACTGAGAGGAGTACATACATAGTTGAGAACAGAATTAAGCATGAACATTTGTTTAAACAAGTATTATATTCTTCTGCTCATTATTATCATTAATTTATATTGAAATAAGTTACATCATATTTATATATTTAACACATATTTTTGGTCATTGTGCATTTCTAAGCATAATTTTAAAAGTTTTTTTTTGTTCTTTCCTTTCATACAAAAGGTTGGACGTGAAACAATTAATAGCAGTGATGACCATATTCTACGACAAGACATGCCTGTGGCTCTCCAGAGGGTAGAAAAGGCTTCCAAGCTACTGGAGGATGCATCAAGTTTGCTGAAGACTGACCCTTACTCTCAGCCTGCCAGGAAAAAACTGATTGAAGGGGCAAGAGGTTCATAACTAAATTGTTTGGTTTCTACTGTTTAACTTTAGTGTTTCCAAACAAAAACTTGGAAAAAAAACAAACTAATAACAGGTTTTATGATACATTTGGGGTTTGAGAAGAGAAACATTAATTATATCCATAAATATACAGTGTTTAAACTGTCTTTTTTATTACATATTTTATTATTCTGAACAGAAGTTCAGATAATTTCATTAAAGCCTCCCTCAAAATTGACACATCATTAGATTTGTGTGACATAAAATCTTAATGTTTTATATATACTGTTAATGTAAGGCATGTTTGATCAGCCAGTTTAGTCACAGACCTTGAAAAGTTGAGGATTTAGACATTGGGATCAAATTATTAGAGAAAATTTAAAAATTCTTCCCAAACTTGGAAAAGGCAGGAAAATTGTGACCCCTCTCTGTAGTTTTTATCTTAGAACCAGTATGTGCACACAAACCATTCTACGCAGAAGTGCCATATATATATATATATCTGTATTAACCTAATCTTGGTCAGTCAGTTTTATATTGTTTTATCAGTTTATAGTTATTTAATTCATTATATTTGTTGACGGGTGTGTGATCAAACAATATTTTTGAATAAAAAAATCTGACATTGTATTGTCTACCATTAAGGTGCAATGATCTTGTTTGTAGATATTTTCTGTAGTAAGTTTGTTCTGAAGTTTTTATTACCTATTATAATCAGATTACAATCTGGGGTGGTGTTAAATAGGTAAAAGTATGAGGAAGAGTTAATGTATCACATGTATGTAGACCTGGAAGGTCACGAAGAAAGTTTTGTAAAGATTGTGGCCACTCTGTCACTATTAAGTAGAAGCTGTCTTATCAGAGTGTCATTTTTTTTTTTTTCATATAAAAGCTTCTTCTGATTTCTTATGACTTAAGTATTCTAATTTCCAGGTGAAGTACTGAATAATTTAAATATCTTTTTGCTGACAGGTATTCTTCAGGGAACATCTGCTCTGCTACTGTGCTTCGATGAGTCAGAGGTTCGGAAGATCATTCGAGAATGTAAGAAAGTTTTAGATTATTTGGCAGTGGCTGAAGTTATTGAATCAATGGATGATCTTGTTCAGTTTGTAAAGGTCAGTTTCTTTTTGTATTATAAAACACACCATATTTTAGATGTACTGGTCATACTAATTCTTTATTGGGTTTCTGTAATTGTTTGTTTTTATCTTGTCACTTTTATAGTAATCTACTTTTCGTACATTCATATTTGAGTAATGGATGTTTTTATTTTATGGTGTTTTTACAACTTGGTCAAGGCATTTCAATAGATTCATTAGGTACTGTAACACTTGTATCATGTATACTTCCATAGGTCATCTTGTAAATATCTAACACACGTTTTTTTAATTTGCTGACAACAAAACACTAACATTGGTTTCTAATGTAGTGGCAAGTCAAAGATTATGGGTTAAACCCATGAGAATAATTGTTTTTTTGAACAGTATTTATTATATAACGAAGAAAAACCATCCTTCTGTCTGTCATGCCAATATCTCTGCCATTGCAGTACTGATTGACCTGCAACTTGCACAAAATGATATTACTTTCTGCCATGACAAGCAAGTTTTTTTTTTTGGACAGTTTGATACTTTGGACATGTAATTAGACTTAATAGTAGGTTGGTAGAAATCGTGATGAGTAATTAAATTGAATTGGGTATATGTGTGCCTCATTCTTGGTATTGCTGGTATACAAAAATCATAATCATTGGCTAAAATTCCTCATTATAGTTGCTTGGTTGTCAAGGAGACATACTGAAGCTACATCACCTAAATTTGTCCAGTCGGAACCCTCAGTTACAACTCTATAATAACCCACATGTTTTACCCACACCACATTTCAATTTTGAAAATGACCAAATTAAAGCTCTTTTCCTCAGCTCAGCAGGATGACAAAGCCAAAACCAGGAAAAGTCCAAAGAGAAGACCCCTAAATTCATAATAAAATTTACTGCCTTTACCATCATAATTAATAATTTGCAAGGTCATACAGTTGACCAACTAGGAATGGAATATATCCTTGAGAATCAGTTTTTCACACACATTTTGATCTATAAGGATTTATCAAGAACACATGAACATGACTTAAAAATATACAAAAGTCAGATGCTAATCAAGCAATACTTAAGGGAGTTGATTAAGTATAAATAAAAAATCTTGTTTTCGTGAATTACTAGAAATAGAATGATCATTCTCCATACATATATTGTTACCAGATTATCATTAACTTTTAGAAAACATCTTCATAAAACATTTAGTTTGATATAATTTTGAGAAGAAAAATTAATCATTATTTCCAGTCATATGACGGGTATCCAGCTTGTCATAAAATATTCTTAAGATATAACTATGTATGTATATAAAAATTATAAATTTATTAGTCGAATTAGAGACTTGTATGCAAGGCCATACCAAGGGTAGTGTGAGCAGTGTTTACATTTTTGAAAGCAAGGATAGATTAGATGTTTTTAAGGACAGATCCAGATTTTATATCTCACAAAAGGCACCATCAATGATTGGAATGGCCCTGAACACTTTGTGTAGATGGTTGTTTCATGTGATAACATTTAGTATTTTTTGTTCTTTACATATTAATGAGAATTCCATCAGCTAGTCAACATATATGTTTTAGTTAAACTTTCTTTAAAATCAATTATTATATTTAGGTGTGAAAAGTAAACAAAGGATTTAGGTGTATGCAAGAAGCGTGATTATTTTTGTATATATTTACTGTGATCTACTTCCCTACTCTGTTAGGATCTTAGTCCTTGCTTAACGAAAGTTTCCCGTGAAGTGGATGCACGAGAAAAGGAGTTGACTCATCAAGTTCATCGAGAGATCTTGATTCGTTGTCTGGAATCGGTGAAGAATCTTGCTCCCATCCTTATATGTAGTATGAAAATATTTGTTCAGATTTTATCTCAGGGTAAGTTAATATTTTTATTAACAGTCCCTCAAATTAATTTTGAGTAGAAATGTGCTTTACAGATATTTTCTCTAATAATTTTTGCTGGAAAATATTCTTATTAATATTAGCTGTTTTGAAATTTCTGTAATTTTGTTTTCTTTATATATATATATACACACTTTGTGGTGTCACCTATATATGATAAAGGTCTTTTTGTAAATTTGGCAGGTGGTAAAGGAGTAGAAGAGGCAGCAGAAAACCGAAACTACCTAGCCCGTAGGATGACAGATGAGATCAATGAAATTATTCGTGTGCTACAGTTAACTACCTATGATGAAGATGAGTGGGATGCTGACAATCTTACAGTTATGAAGAAAGCACAAGTATGTAATTACTTTTTGTTTGATAAATATGAATATTCTAAGCACAAAAATTGGGGGCCAGTAAATGGCTTTGATTATTAAGTCATTTATGTTGAATTGTTATATGGAGATCCATTAATTGACTGACTAACAAATGGAAGATAAATTAATAGCATAACTGATAAGTTTATGGGAAAGTCTACATGAACATAAATTACTTTGATACTATATTAATTTGTTTTTGAACTAAAAGCTAAATCGTATATTATATATACCTAATTAAAGCACATGAAAATTATGGAATTAATTTCTTGAGTAACATTTAAATGTTGACAAAAATAGACTTGTGCAAACTGAAAACCTCCAATTTTATGCTCAATTTATACCTGGAAAAGTTTCCATTTTATTTCTATAAATCATGCAAATATATCAGAATTGAAAATATTATGCATGTTTATTCTGTCATTGCTTTCACTTTATCAATAATTTAATAAATAGAATAGATATTCTATAGTTTTGTCTGAAAGAAAGTATATGTTTTTGTGTTTCAAATTGATATAAATATTACCATAATATGATTAATGTTTTATCTGCATTTATGCAGGTATTTTTATTGTTGAGACTTTTTGTGATTATAGCAACAAAAATATCTCTCTTTATGGTTTTAAACTTCAGAATGCCATAATGGGAAAACTCCAGGCTGCACATGATTGGCTAGAGGATCCATCAGCAGTGACCGGAGGAGTGGGAGAGAAGTCTCTTCGAAATATTTTGGACCATGCCCAGCGTGTGGCAGAACGTTCTCTTCCACCAGATCATGATGCAATAAAGAAAATGTGTGGTGACGTTACTTCAATGACAGATGCACTTGCTGAGTTGAGACAGGATGGAAAGGTAAATATTTAATTAAGGTTAAGTTTTCTAATGATCTCGCAGGCTTAGAGTAAGAAAGATAATAGTTTTTGTATTGTATCTTTAATACATTCTGTTGTTTGTAAATGTTTAAAATAAGTTTAGTGGATATGCATAAATGCATACATTAGACCCTTTTTAACTTTTGAAAATGTTAACATAAGAATGTTCATATGATTTGTGATATCAAGGGGTTACTAACCATATCTTTTAATCCTAAATTAACCATGTATCCATTTGTTTGAACATTGACGATTTATTCTAAGCATGAAAGTTAACACAGTAGTCAGTGATATGAAGAAAACTTTGTACGTGTTTGTAGGGTGCTTCACCTCAAGCCCAGTCTCTTGCCAGAGGAATTGGCCAAAAATTGCGAGAGTTGAATGTGTTAATTACAAATGCCATTCAAAACGTGGAGAGAAGTGGCATTCAGCAACCCGCACATACTGTTGGGGGTCGAGTTGAACAAGCCCAGCAGTGGCTAGCCAATCCTAGTTTTGATGATAAAGGCTTGGGTAAGTTTAGCTTTCGATTTGTAATGTAACTGTAATGCTCAGGGTTCTGTACGAAATGTGGTTGTAAATAATTTGTGTGTCTGTAAAACTTTGGAATCTCATTTTAACAAGAAACGTTGAAGTTTTGCATTGAATGTAAATTACTGTTTCTTGCAAGAAACTAGTTTAAAGAAAGTAACGACAAGACAGATTCAGCTATAGTTATAAGTTACTTTAAAACGAAGTAATGATTAGACATTTTCACTGTAGCAGCACTATTGTAATACACTTAAAATATTTACTTTCAACACTTTTATTTTTACTATAAATTTTCCTATTCTCTATTCCAAATAATGAAAAAATATTGATTTAATTATGATAGGCTTTACCTGCAAATACACGTCTTTGATATGTATATAGTTATTATGAAGTATTGGGAGGTGGTTATATTAAATGGTAATGTTAAAGTACTTATAAAATGTAAACTATATTAATTACTTATGGGCTCATTGTGAATAGTTATTGACTTTTGAATATTATGTTTACGGCTTGGTGTTTTTGTTGATATTAGTCTGGTATCCTTATTATACTTTCTACAATAAGTCAAGTAATAAAAGAAATAGTCACATATACTTCATTGGTATGTAAATACTGTTGGTAATATAAATGTGTACAGAATTTTTAATTATATGGAGAATTAAAATAATAGTCGTGAATTGTAGTTGATAATTTAGTTATAAGTATGTATACATGTTTAATTGTTATAAAGGATGAGAGAAAAAATGAGGCCATTATTTTAAATTTATGTGAAAAAAAAATTAACAGTTTGTTTTATACTTTACTCCATTCATCTTCTAGGTTAAATGGATATATCTTTGTTAATGAAGATAATTAATGTTTCTTTACTGTAGGTCAACAGGCTATACAGTCTATCGTTCAGGAGGGTCACAAATTGGCTGAAACATCTCCCCAGCCAGAAAAGTTGGAAATCCAGCACTTATGCAATGACATTGAAACTATGTCTCGACAATTATCTGACTTAACTCGTAAGGGGCAGGTATGATTTACAAAGTTTGGCTCCAGATATTGTTTTTGACATGTTATACATGATTTAAAAAAAAGACTGCTTTCTATGTTTCACTTTTTTATACAAATATTTTGTGTGAACGTTTGTTTTACATTGGTTGATGTACCTTTACACTTACTATTTTATTCCAATCGGTAAATTTTCGACTCTAAACTGAAAATGAGTTATTAAGAGGCTTGAAAACTTAATATGAAATACTCATTTTATATTAAAACTTCTTGAACAAGTGTATTTTTCTGACATCATGAGCAGGAAAGTTAAGTAAACAAAATTATTATATGGTGAAAAAAATTTAAATTTTTATTATCGGCCAGAAGAAAAGACACTTAAACAAGTTATTCAATCATAGAAAAATAATTTTGAAATTTTTTATACACACTGAATGGGGATAAATTTTAGGGTGGTGGCCCTAGAAAGGAAATTGATTTTAAAACAGTAGAGTTCACAGTGCATTTTAATGATAAATTCTAATAACATACAGGTAATTTCAAATTTCACAATCACTGAGCTTCAAACAATATAACAGACAAATTAAAATATGATGAGACTGAGCTGCAGTAGTCATATATATATGATGAGACTGAATCGTGATAGTAATGCATGATGAAACTGAATTGTGGTAGTAATGTAGGATGAGACTGAGCTGTGACATAACTTACAAACAGACACACATTTGTAATGCTATTAAGCTGAAGTATTAGTTTATGATCAGTTATATGAGATATAAAAATGAAAGGCGAGGACTGTTATTAATATTTGAAGTTAAAAGTTTGATTCTTATTTTTGGAAAGTGTGTTTTTGTGCTTGGAAAAAAAAATATAATTATAGTAATTTAAATATAAGTTAACAATGAATGAGAAAAGGCAGCAGGAGACGTGATCATGTAAATAGTAATATTTGTTCCTAATCTGAAATGTTTTCATTTTTTATCCTAGGGTAAAAGTCCCCAAGCCCAAGCTCTTAGCAGAGCTATTCATGGAAAACTCCATGAACTTAAGAACAAGATTCAGATGGCTCTTGTAAACAGAGTAGGTATACAATTTTAGGAACTTTATCTTCTAGATATAGAGAAATTTTAAGTAGTTTAGCTTCCCCAGGAATATAATTTTAGGTGGATTAACTTCCATTGGTATATCATTTTAGGTAGCTTAGCTTCCTTAAGTATACAATGCTTAGGTAGTTTAGCTTCCTTAAGTATACAATGCTTAGGTAGTTTAGCTTCCATAACCATAAAATTTTAAGTAATTTACCTTTCACAGATATACAAGTTTTAGGTTACTTAATACATTCCTTGATAGTAAATTTTATAAAGTTTAACACTCATTTTACAACATGGGCCAAGAACTGATAGACATGTTGCCCAACATCAAGATACTTAGTTGATTTTCATAATTCAATATGTTATTTAACAAGGAAGTTAGGTTTTGCTAATGAAACTACTATAAACTAATTGTCAGTTGAAAGTTTTATTTTTTATAAATATAGTTTTTGTTCAGTGGATATCATATGGGTGTATTATTGTAGGCTTTAAATATGTTTGTAGTGATATAAAGTTATGCAGAAATAGAATAATTTTTGGGAAGTGCACTATGTTTTAAAATGTTTGTTTTTAGTTTTCGTTATATTCATTTTGTTCAATTAATGGATTTTTGGTTTGGTTTCAGTTCAAATAAAAGTGTCATAAATCATCTTGTATTTTCATGCTGTGCTTTTGGGAAAGAAAAAGCTCCTAATTGTTTTAGATTGAAGGTTTCAAAACATTAATCTGTGACATTATTACTTGTTCTGGTTAAATTCACTTTATAATGACCTCTTCGTGTAGACTGTTATTAGGACTATTATTTTTTATATATGGTTTGTTGTTTGAAAACTAAGCTCAAACATAATTTGAATTCTTTTTTTAACCAAAATCGTTTAAGCCTATTCCATTATAATTTGCACAATTAGTTTATTTTTTACTTGGTGATGAACATCATGCATACATGTAATAATAAACATGAGGATTGTGGTATTATAGAGCATGAGTACATTAGTGAAATAAATATCTCTTCTTCTCAGGTGGTTGAAGATTTCATTGATACCACTTCTCCCCTGAAACAGTTTACTGAAGCAGTTCTTACACCTGAAGGTAGTTATTCAGATTTCTTTGTTATTTGTCGGTGAATTATATTTGCTGTGAATTTTAGTTTAAAGCATGCAGATATTAAAAGAAGTTATTGTTCCACAGCATTTTTGTTATGAATCAGTATAATGTTTGTCATTGTAATATATAAAAATTAAACAATTTATTTGGATACTTATATTTTTACATGACTAAGAAACACTAGGCCATTTTACCAATTATACTGTTTGTAAAAGGAATCTTGCAGAGTTACAAACTTATTGTTTGAATGTTTTCAGAATATGAAAGATTTCATGTGACTTTCTATAACCCATGGTTCTTTTAATATGTACGTTATATTCAAATTTTATGACTGATGTAGTTAAGTATTCTACATTTTTGTGGATAAAATTAAGACATAATCAAGACACACTAGTGTGGTAAAAAAAAGAAACCCTGCAGGACACAATGCATGTTATTAACAGAAGTGATAGTTTAGATGTTTTTTACCTTCTGTAGCTTGGACTTTGGTTATCCAAACTATCATATATTTTCAGTAGATACTGCACTTTTACTTCACATATCAAATTTCAAGGCAGTCTATCAAGAAATACCTGAGATATAACATCTCCAATTTTGACTCAGTTTTTCCTTTTTTTTCTTCACATCAAAAGTACAGAAATTTATTTGATAGAAAAAACATACTTAACTTTTATGGATTTTTTTAAAATTTGGTACGCTGGTAGATCTTTACAACCTACAAATAGGAGTCTCATTTGGTGTAAGTATAAACCATATGTGCAAAGTTATTCAACAAAAACTGCTCAAATTTAAAAACAATTTTGTGGATGCCTACATTTTTACAGCTTCACCTAAGAGTAAAAGTAGACTGTTTTTAGTTTTTTGTAATTTGTACTTAAGACTGTCGACTCAGAGCAGCAAAACTATAAAGTGAAAGTACATGCAGGTACATAAGTATTGGTTAGGCCAAGCAAATTAGATTAGCAGTTTCTAGCTCAAATTTTCCAAAAAATCATATGGGTGGATGGTTACTTGTTAATTAGGCCAAATATTTTACCCACCATCATGCCCAAATTTCAACAAAAATGTGGCCTGGCTAACTAATGAATGAATATTTGCTGTAAAATTCTTATTGGTGGTATAAGTGTAGCTACCAGTTTTGATTTCATTCCTTTAAGTTGCATGCTTAATCCTATTTTGGCCACACCTTTACTTTTTATTTGGATTAAATAATACTCTTCTGAATATACTGTGGAAATATTATATTATTATTATTCTCAGTATTAGAACTGGCCATATTTCTCTATACATTTTCAGGCCTGGCGTGACCTAGTGGTTAAGATTAGCAATCTGCAGGTTGTGGGCTGGAATTCCCATCACCAAACATGCTCACCTATTCAGCCATAGGGGCATTATAATGTGATGGTCAATCCCACTATTCCTTGGTAAAAGAGTAGCCTAAGAGTTGGCAGTTGGTGGGGTTAACTAGTTGTCTTCCCTCTAGTCTGTCACTGCTAAATTAGGGACAACTAGCACAGATAGCCCACGATTAGCTTTGTGCATAATTCAAACCAATCTATACATTTTCAGGAACACCAAATCGAGATGGTAACTTTCAAGATAAAGCTAGAACACTGATGGAATTTTCCCTGAGAACTGCGCATACAGCTAAAAATGTAGCCACTGGTGGTACAACTAACAAAAAGCTAGCAGAGTCTCTCATGTCTTCAGCCAATCAGGTATGACAAAAAAAATGTAGTATCGTTGAATCATATGCAACAGGAATTTATGCCAGTATTTACTATACCATAATTCTTTAGCTAGTCAGCTGCAAAGTTTTTTTTAGTGAGTTTTGAGTTTCGAAAGTAAAATAGAACACCCATTTATACTTGAATTATGAATTTCTTAGTATCTTTTTCCTGTAGTCAATCAGTTGTGATGGGCTTCTATGAGAAAGCAGCATATCAGCCATTTTATTATTTTGGTAATTTTTTTTTCATTTTATTACTTTCCATAGTGATTTTTTTTGTGTATGTAAAAGAATATAATAATATAATATAATAAATAATATATAATAATAAACCCTCCATTCATGTAAACAATTCTGTAAAAACTGTCTAAAGGTATTCTGTGATATTGAAAATGTATGTAAAAGAATTACAGATCTATTCAACAGAAACTGCTTTTTGTTTATGTAGATTGAAAGCTTGACCCCTCAGTTAATCAATGCAGGAAGAATCAGGATGGCATATCCAACCAACAAGGTAATAACTTCTGTGCTATACAGAACAGTATCTCACACAAATTAATAATATAGTAATCTACCACTACTCTTAAAGAATATGGTTTTCTTGCAGGCAGTCTTTTAAAAATTGTTCTAAAAGTCAGATTTTGTCTTTTGATACACATATACATGTAAAAAAACAAGAATAATTTCTTTACGGATTATTTTCAATTTTGATATTTTTAGTTTAAAAAACAACAAGAAATTACTAACAATTAATTAATTATTAAAAATGTTTTATAAGTGGAAGTTATTTGTTGTTTTAATGTAACAAAAGCATTATTATAATAAATACGAAAGTTACTGTGCTGTGACTTTGTTTCTTTAATAACACAGGCTTGTGAATTTATACTTCATAAAAGTTTTGGTTTTGAGAATGGATTTTCCTTAATTCAGCTATGTAGATTTCGAAAATAATATTAATTTTTTTCTATCATGTAAGGATTTTTTACAAATCGGGAAGAAAAAAACAACAACACATACTTAGATCAAATTATCTCGTTTACTACATGGAACATTTTTTATTATTATTATGTTTGTTAACAAAAATGTAAACAAACTGGAGGAAAGGGATGTCAAATGAATATGCATCCTCATTCACCCTTATTTTTTTGTGAAATCTATGTCTTTTAGTCTCAAACTATGTGTTGTGGTCTTTCTTTTATGTATTGCGTTATGACGTTTTGTGAAAAATCTGTACATGATGAAGAAAAATGGATATCATTTTCAGATTCAGCATACAGGAATTACCATAGAACATGTAAAAATTTCAACACAATAAAACCATCACAAGCCTGTGTAATTAGTTAAATCTGACATTCTTAACATTGTAATTTCTACAAAGATCTTTGAGTTTAGATAAAAGTATTAAACCAAAGTCATACCGCTACAGGCTGCAGATGAACATTTTGAAAACCTGAGGAAACAATATGCTGAAAGCATTCAAAAAATGAGAAATCTTGCTGATGAGGCCACAGATACTGTAAAGTTCATTAAAAATTCAGGTAAGGTGGGTTTAGAGTAACTAAAGACCAACTACAAAAGTCAGTTATATGAGCCTCTGATAGTTACTAGTGTATTTCTGTGTTTAAAATGGTTTTCCAGAATGAACTACACCTAAATCCCTGGTAATGAATTAGTGTCTTGCAAAAATATACTTGTGGTATATTTTTTGTTGAAGTTTTTCTCTTGTTAAAAGTATTACATATCAAGTGTAACAGTTTAATATGAAGCTTAGATGTTAAAATTTGGAAAAACGATTCCTTAAAAATCACTTGAACTTTAAAACAAAAAACAGTCACAATTGATTGAAAACTTTGAATAACAATGCCAAATTATTTACTGTAAAACTAGACAAAGAAACTATTTTGATATTCCACTCTTTGTTTTTTTAACAATTTGTAGTGATAAAGCTACTAAATTAGAGATTAAAATTTGGTAGGAATTTCTTTTGAAAACACTGATTTCTTGTTTTTGCTTTTGCTGGTGCAGAGGATAAAATAATGAAGCATACAGAAAAGTGTGAAGAGTCCATTGTTCACCAAGAACCACAACAAATGGTTGACCACACCTCTAGTATTGCCAGATTAGCTAACAGAGTGCTGATGGTAGCAAAGCAGGAGTCTGATAACTCAGAAGATCCATATTTCATAAGCCGTGTGAACATGGCAGCCGATGAACTTCAATCTGGTAAGTTTCAAATTTGCTTGAATGTTGTCTACTAAATGATATTTAAAAATTTTTTTAGAAATCTTTATTTAATCCCTTGCCCACCGGGGCCATTTTGTGTTATTGTGAGGGTAAAATCATATTTATGAATTGAAAAAATTAGAGAGAACTTTTTATTGGATTTCTGATTTTATTTTTGTAAATGGTAGCATAACATTCAATTATTTGTCATAAATTGTGTTATTTAGTGAAGTTTGAAGAGAAGTTTAATAAAAAAAAATCCCAAAATACATTTGAGACTAAAAATTAATGCCCTCTAAGAAATATTTTTTTTTCAACATTTAAAAAAACTTTTTCCTTCCACTTTAGTGCTGGTTCTCCATCTATGATTAGTATTCAAATCTTTTTGTAGTCAGTTTTTTTTTTTTATAAAACAGTGTCTAGGGGGTGTTAAACCTCAGTTGTGAAACTTTTAGCTAGTCCTAGTTGAATGTGTCAATTTCAATACCATGTTATTCTAGTTGCTGTATTTCACGTTTGACAAATCATAGGATGATAAGCAAAGCACGTCACGAAACATTGTTCTCTGGATTTTACAATATGAACGTGGGTGGTGCTTATTATAGTAACTGACATTTTATGTAGAGGTTGTATTTAGTATTGGCAAATAGTACTTTTTTATAAGCCTTAGAAAATTAGCTTCTGGAAAAAAACTGCATGGGATGTATGTGATTTTTATTATTTTTATATAGTAGCTTAAATCATGCTATATTGTATATGTATTTATATTAATTATTATATTGAAAAATTAACTCAAAATAGATATATTTTCAGGAAAGAAGTTGATCCACAAATGTTAGAGTTAAGATTGAGTGGCGAGTGTATGGTCTTTACGTGAATTAGGCTTGGCACTTTGAACTGAAAGAGTTTGTGATTTTTATATTCGTTTGCATTTAAATTAGTAGTTTTAAGTTCAATAATTTAGCATAATTATATATTTAGTTCATTATAAAAATATAATTCAGTATTTAGAATATAACCTTGTGTGAATTGTACATACTACTAGTACCATGTAAGAATTTTATATTTTTCCTTCTTACAATCTGTACTTTGTAGTAAGACCCACAATTCTGTTGCTGTTGCTTTATATTATAATCAAAACAGTCTAACTGATATATAAAAAGCTTATTCTGATATTTTGTAAATGGTTTAAAGCTCAGTGTACAAGTGACAACATTAAAACCCATATGTTGGTTGTGAAACAGACTAAACACAATTGTCTCAATAATACAGGGGAAGCTGTGACATTCTCACAGTTGGGGTGTAAATACACTGAAGAGCTTAAGTTTTGAATTCCAATATAAATCTTGCCTATAATGAGAGGAATGTGACCAGGACTAATATTTTAAGTGCTGTAAAGTAATTTTCTTTTAAATTTATGGTATTGGTATCCTTTGGTAATCTTTTGTAACAAGATGTATCTTGTAACTATGGTCAGGTGGCATTATTCAAACCACCTGTACTGTAAACTGTTACATACATTCACTAGTAGTGGCAATTAGTTTTGTCTGTATAGTGAAA